CCCACTTTGGTGAAATTAATTAACGGCCAACTACATCAATCTGCACCCGATCTTTCAATAGCTTCATCTGATATTGCCTTAAAGTTCTTATGGAAACCTATGAAGGAGTCCTTGGGTAGCGATCATTTAATTATCAAAATTTCCACGTGTCTGTATTCTAACTCCAATTTAATATATAAAAGAAACTACAAACAAGCCGATTGGAGTGCCTATAAATCTTGCTTAAAAGAGATTTACTCAAAAATTAAACTTCCCAATGACCTACAAAAGGCATACGATACTTTTGTAGATTTTATTACTTTAGCGGCTGACCTTCACATACCTTTTATCAAAATTAATCAAAACCCAACAGGAAAGTTTTCTCCTAAGCCATATTGGTCTGCAGACCTGTCAAGGTTGGTTGCGGAACGGAGACTAGCCTTATCTAAATTTAGACGGAACCCTACCCCACAAAATTTGGAAATATTGCAGACTAAAATAGATGAGACACAAAAAGCGATTAGACAGGCTAGTAGCAAAAGCTGGCGGACATTTTGTTCTTCTTTTGATGAGGTTACATCTGCCAGTGAAATGTGGAGGAAAATGCGATGGTTAAAAGGCTACAGAAATCTAAATAATTATATTGATACCAACAAAGCTACAGAACTCCTAACCAGTCTCACCCCCGAAATTGCTAGCCCGAAACAGCCCTTATTTTCATCTTGCAACCGGCAATTAGAAAGAGAATTCACCATGTCAGAGTTAATAGTATGTTTTCGAGTCAAGGATACCGCGCCCGGAATTGATAATATATCGTACTCCATGATTAATAATTTGCCAGATAATGCTAAATCTTTGTTGCTACATATTTACAATATATTTTATACGCACAGTTTTGTACCGCTACAATGGCGTGATATAAATGTTATACCAATACCCAAACCAGGTAGAGACCCAACATCTGTCTCAATTTTAAGACCTATTTCCATGATGTCATGTATGTGTAAAATATTCCATAGTATGCTGAACAACAGACTAGAGTGGTATCTAGAATCAAAAAAATATTTCTCCGACAATACCACAGGGTTTAGAAAAGGTAGATCCAGTTTAGACAATTTAACTAATTTAATTACGACAATTCAAATTGGCTTTTCAAATAAGAACTCCAGTATTGCCGCCTTTTTGGATCTGGATAACGCATATAATAATGTTGATATAACATGTCTTTTGCATATCATTGATAGATTTGGAGTAGGTGCAAGGGTGTGTAAGTACTTGTGGACTTTTCTCCATTCTCGACAACTTAAAATAAAAGTAGCTGATAAATATATTACACGCAATACCGGGCGAGGCCTAGCGCAGGGAGATCCCTTATCCCCACTTTTATTTAACATGGCTACTATACACATTTGTAAGGATATAAATAACGTATACGTATCCCAATATGCCGACGACTTTGCCCTGTATTAGACTTACCAACACATTAGAGAAGGAAGTTTGGCTTTACAGTTGGCTCTAAATAAATTTTCAAAATTACTAAGCGTTATAGGACTGGATATATCGGCAAATAAAAGTAAGGTCTGTATATTTAGTAATAGTTTTAGAAGAGATTCAGCACATTTAGTAGTAAACGGGCGACAATTGGAAATGGTTGATAGTGAAGTATCTGGGTCTTTGGTTGGATCGGACTTTGAGATGGGGTAGGCACATAAGGGAAACTAAACAGAAAGTCGAAAAATTCACAAATATATTTAAAGTTTTAGCAGGCCCGGGCTGGGGAGTGCACCCGAAACACCTAAGACGCTTGTATATTGCCCTTGTCAGGAGTAGGTTAGATTATGCTAGTTTCCTCTACGATAGTGGCAGTAACTCTCAATTGATGCAACTTGACAGGATTCAGAACCAATACTGGCGAGTAATCGGAGGTTTCATTAAAAGTACACCAATACATGTTATGGAAAACGAGCTATGCCTGCCTCCACTAAATACTCGACGACTCTATTTGGGGGGAAAGTTCTGGTTGAAATGTAAGTCGCTCAAAAACAACAAGCCGTCTGACTGAACTCTGTCAATTTGCATACTGGAGAAGGAAAAGGAAGCCGCTTTTGGTGTCGGTGCATGCAACATTAAATGATCACCCCATACGACAAGTCAGTGTAATAGAGATGTTTTCTTTACCCACGTGGGTCAGCAATATGGATTTGACAGAATTATTAAGACCTTTTATTCCTACAATAAGCGGCGCGAAAAGAATACACAATGTATACACTTTAAAAATCATATATGAAAAATATATGTCAGAATGGTACTGTAAATTCTATACAATTTATACGGATGCTTCGAAAAACGACTATGGGATGGGTGTGGCCTTTTACGATCCACAGACTAAAGACCATATAAAACTCAAAATTACGACAAAAATGTCCATAATGAACGCTGAGCTTATAGCTATCCTTGAAGCCCTGTCTTATCTCAGTTCCGTGGAATTTAATAAATGTGTTATTTTGACGGACTCCAGAAGTTCCCTTCAACATTTAGCGCGATGTTCTAGGCCAAGCTTTCGTGGATGTCCTGTCGCATACGAGATCCTCAGTCTGATATGCCAATTACGCAGTGGTGCCAGGGAGATTGTGTTGCAATGGGTGCCCTCCCATATAGGAATAAACGGGAATGAGATTGCGGATAGGTGGGCCAAAGAAGCAACATGTGAGGGCGATACATACTCTTGTGTGCCGTATTTTAGGGATCTGATGTACTTAAATAAGGAACGTTGTTATAGCTCTTTGAAAGCCCACTTTGACGTAAGATCGTTAACCAAGGGAATATGGTATAAAACCATACAACCCAATCTCCCTGGCATACCATGGTTTGTCGATGCCAAAATGAGCAGGCGTGAAGTTGTCATGGCACTGAGGCTTCGCTCGGGACACGTACCTTTAAATAAGTTCGGGTATTTAATGAAAAAGGTGCCTTCACCGGACTGCGAGACGTGTGGAAAATTGGAAGACGTTTACCATGCAATAATGGAGTGTAGTAGTAGTGAAATTATTAGGCAACACATTCCAAATTTGAATTCATACTCGGTAGGCATGTGCAACAGCATTTTGGCCGCTCCTTTATGTAAGGAGGCCAGAATGCTGTTCAATATGATTAAAACCGCCATAGCAAGAGTGTAAGGCCTAACGCCTTGTACTCTTGTTTGTGGTGGTAGTGGAATCGCACCTATGAGGGTGACATATCTACACAGATAAAACCCTCATAAATAAATAAAGATTTAAAAAAAAAAATCAATCTTGCACTTGAGATAGATTTATTAATACGGCCCTTAGGCCTTAGATCAAGAATTATAATAATATAAATAGATAAATATCAGGCTGAAACGATTCTTATTAAATAAGTAATACTCGACCAAACAAATATAAGCGATTTAAATCCGAAAAATAGTTTAATTTCCTTCATTTTCTATGTGTAACAATCGCGAAAACCTAAGAACTCCTTTTCAAATGTTATGTGCTTATTTTGTTTTTTTTTGTTTTTCACAAAATTCGGTTTTTTGTTTTTTGTTTAATTTTTTCCACCGAAATTCCGGGAGCATAACATTAGTAAAAATAAAGTTGGCGTAGTATTAATTGGAGGTATCGAGATGCTTCGAAGGTAAATTTATAAAGTGTATTGGATATTTCGATAATTGGAAGCAGACTTTCGGCTTTAATGACTCCGGTTACCTTGTTCTGGTCGCGCAAGAACTCGCTGGTAAGACAAGCGGCACGGAAGGGCTCGTCGGGCGATCCGTCCTCGTCGGTGACGGGCACGCACAACTCGCACACCGCCTGCGACCGTTCCGTCACGAACTCGCACTCCATGCACATCGTGCGCACCACCATCGTGCCTGCAAAATACAACATAATACTCTGTTGCAAACAAAGTGTAAACAAATGTTATGTATAATCTTGTTTTATAGTACAATCATACTATAATACAAGATCGAACACATGATTAGGCTGAGAGCGTGAGGGTGTGAGAATAGCTGATAAACACACATACATACCCCACACAAACACACCCATACACTCGTGGTGCATATTCACGTGTTTGGACAATATTTTCTTTTTTTTTACTGTTATCATAGTAACATGTTGTGAATTATAATTACTTTCACTCTATTTGTATTTTCTGTATTGTAATTCTATATACAATTAGTATACTTTTGTTAACTCGAAGACAATAACTAAATAAAAAGTGACATCTAGTGAGAGATTTTTGAACGACCTTCCCAATCCCCAGAAGTTATTTCCCAAAAAATCTGAATAATACAGTGTAAACAATTGCTCGACGAATGTGTTTGTAAGGCATATCTACCAATAAATGGACATCGGGTTCGCGCTTAAAAGTGTCCGCATCTATAGGACGTTAAAATCACATACAGAGCGTCAATCGCGCAACAGTCTTCGTTTGTTCGACTGTCAGCGCGGTTGTCAATCATGCAGTACCATATAATAATAACTTGTAAAAATTATTGCAGTTAAGTGTAAAAACAGGGTTTTGTATCATATTTTCACTAAACAAATATATTGTGTTATCATAGTTCTCATTTAAAAATGTTATTTTGTACAGTTTTATAGTATTTCATTTATAAATAAATGAATCGTAAATATAAATTACAAAAGCACACAAAACAATCAAATAGCTAACTGTCCTTTTTCTACACATTGCATGCGCAAAAGATGGAAAGAGACCCATTGTATCAATTTCAAGAAGCTTATATATAAAACTTCTTGGTCATTTTCAATTGTTCGAACCACAAGCGATTGAAATATTTAGAACAAAGAAACTAGACTATAGAGTCGCTTTGATTTTAATCGTATTTTTAAAATGATTTTTTTAAACGTTAGCAATAACTGACAAAATATTGTTGTACTCGTTTTACGGCTTGAGATTACCTATTAGAAGTCAGAAAATACATTTGCCCGAAATAACGTAAGCTCGACTTTTCATAATGCCAAATTTATTTTCTTCGAAAGATTACAAAATAGAAACTAATTTTGTCGTTGTGAAAAGCATTAAAATTACACGAAAGCGTAACGGTTTTATTATAAATCGGTTTTCGGAATTACGGATATTTGAGTTTACGTTTAGTTGGAATATCGGTACATTTCTTATAGTACACGGTTATTTTCACATTTGTAGTAATATTTGTATGTATGTATCTGCCCAACTCTTTATTATTTCTTTAAGTGAATTTGTACAAAATTCGACATAATAATATATATAAAAATTAATTAATATATTAAATATATATATATTATTAAATATTTACGATAAAGGCTACTCCATTACTCTTGTGTTCAAGTAATTTTCAGTCGAAGCTAAATATGGTGCATTTTGTTAAATTTCCAGTAGAAGCTGAATATGGTGTTTTTGGGCCCTTAAATTGTTGCAAGTAAAATTACGCAGTACTGCAATGACGTTACAATTTAAATGAAATGTTTTCGTTTTTATATTTCGTTACATGTCACTACGTTTCTATAGGTTAACTTTGGATATTTTTTCGTGGTTTTTGTATTAGACCCGACGTCCATATGTTGGTAGGTCAATGTTGTAAGGTATGTTTTTATACTATAACTTTGGGAAGAGATCATCATCTACCCATTTATTCGTCCCACTGCTGGGCATGGGTCTCGCCTTAAGCGATAGTTTAGGCCATAGTCCGCCACGCTGGCCTAATGTGTGTCGGGAACTTTTAACCTTTGGTAGGCGGGTTTAGTAGCAGTACAGTTCCTTGTGAAAGAGTTCGTCCATGGAAATACTGCCACCAAGCAGTAATGTGAATATTACTTGTGTTCCAGTTTGGAAGAGTAAGGGTGCTGGTGAAATTACCGGCACATGGGACTTGTCAATTTCATAAGAGTGACGGGCACAGTGACAGTGCCCCCTCAGATCTTTGCGATTTAAAGCTCTGAATAGCAATGCAACTGTTATGAATAGGCGCGTCGCTTACAACCAGATGAATAATGAAAAAAAAATGAAAAGTTTATTTCTGCTTTTTAAGTTGTTTTTTTAAGGTTGGGACTTCCTAGTAGGTGTCATCCACCTGTGACAGGAAGTCCCGCTCTTCCGTTATCTTTTAGTTGTATGAAACAAATTCGATTTAATTTCATAATTTTCTAAGGTACAAGACTAATTAAACTAAATTTAAAAGTTATCAAAGATGATGCGAAGTGCTAAGCTTAACCGATGTACAAAAAATATTGTAAATAATACATGCCTTTACATGCATTTACATTTAATAAACTAAACTTAAATAAATTATAATAAATGTAAGTGATAAATGTACACAAAAATGCACGACACCAGGTGTACGACTTGTTCGTCCCGTCTTGTAGGTATTGTAAAAAAGAACTTTATTCGACATGCAGGAAGGTACAAGACTAATTATACTAAATTTAAAAGTTATCAGAGATGCGATGCGCTAAGCTTAACCAATATACAAAAAATATTGTAAATAATACATGCCTTACATGCATTTACATTTAGTAAACTAAACTTAAATAAATGTAAGTGATAAATGTACACAAAAATGCAGGACACCAGGTGTACAACTAGTTCGTCCCGTCTTGTAGGTATTGTAAAAAAGAACTTTTTTCGACGTGCAGGATTCATCACGATGTTTTAGTGTATTAATTTGATACGGTGAAATAAATAAAAAAAAAGCAATTTTCAACTAAGTGTTGCTTTATCCCCTTTTACAAAATTGTGAATCTTTTTTTTTCAACTTGCGATAACGTTTGTTTATTATATTTTGCATAAAGGTGTACAGTATAACAGTATAGTAAGTACAACATACCTTCAAAGTCATCAGCAACAAAATCCCACCCTGGCCTGGAGCGCTCGTCTCTCGGCGCAGGCGACGGCGCCCGATCCTCAGTTGGCGAGGCTCGCTTGTCCTTCACCTCTTTGCGTTTCTTCCACGACTTACGAAGGTTGCCTAGTGTCTGCTTACCGCTGTCACCATCTAAGCTCGGTTGGCGAGCGATGCCGTTGCTATAAATAATTAAAGGTGCAAGGTCATTGTTACTATGATCTCACACTAGCTTCACAACAAATACCACAGTATTATTCTTGTTACAAAGGCAAAAAAAATATCCTTCAATCCATCTAGACCAGTCAGGTCGAAGAAATTTGTCTTTGTGTTTGTTAATTTTTTGTATCAATAATAATAACAAACAAGTGGATTTTTCACAAAAATGTATGATTATCATGTAGTAAAATATATAGTTCAATAAAAAATCGATATTGCAAATATTACAGTGTTCAACATGCTTCTGAGTGTAGTTATTAAAATAATTGATTAGATCTGTCTGCTGAATTTTCTAAAAAACATTCTTTCATAGCATGATTATATTGCAATTGTGATAATATTTGTTATTCTGCTAAAATCTTGTTGCAATGGCAGTTGAGTCTCAAGAGTGTCAGTGGAATGGCAGTGATGGCATTCATTCATTCAATCACTAACGATCGATGTTGCTTTCTGAAACTTCGATGGATATTATCAGGCATATCTTAATTTTTATCTCGTTTAATCGGCAATTTAGCCATCAAATGAAATCCCACCAGATGTAGTCTACTAATATAATATTAGTAAGCTACATCATCGATTCGCCATTGAAGAAGAATCCCTTTGACATTCTATTGACACACAACTATATATAACCAGAAAGAGAGATGAAATAAGGGCCATCCATTAATATCAACTCATCAGGCAAATGGGCCTTATATCGTGTGTACGTCTCCGTATATTCCAAAAATATTCTGTATTTATAGTAATAATGATAATATCTCTAACTATGGGGGACTGTTCCATTCGGTGGTGTGGGAAAAACAGCAAACATCTAATTACTAAACAAATGGAATCACATTTCATCGGTAATTAAATATGTAATTTTTCAATTATCGTCCACTATAGCAAAGTCAAGTTAAACTGGTCGATTTGAAGTGAAATAAATGACGACACCCGTCAATTGTTTCGAATTCGGGCTGCCTAATCGGAGCGCAGTTGTCACCGTAATGATATGGCAGAGTAGTTTTCAAACAAATTAAATGACAGTTCGTCTCTATTTTTGGTTATATACTCATTGTTTAAAATTAACATTTGACCCAATGCGGCGGTGCATCTGTGGCGCTGCAGCCGCAGCGCTGCTACTACTAATTTTCATACAATATCTAGTCTGCAAAAGCGATGCACTGCAGCGCTTCTACAAGCGTCTAATTATAGGCTTTGGTACTATGTTGTTAATTTTTGTTAAAAAGAAAATTTTTGTATTAGTAAGTACCATTTAGTATCCATAATCGATTTTCTGTTGAGATCTTTGACTTGGTTTAACTTTTGAGAATGTTCACTCTTTGTCACTGCTAGGTAGTATTGCGGGACCGGTGGAAAGTGGGCTTGGCGGATCCCCCCTATGGCGCTCGTACCATAGGTGTGATCCGCCCTGTCCTCGTAGAGTGGGTGAACCGGTCCCACGGGCCACTGTCGTACCACCTTGTGCAGGTGCTGACTGGGCACGGCTGCTTCAGTCACTACCTGCACAAAGTGGCGAGGAGGAAACCGTCCCCGTCGTGTCACGAGTCCGGCGCTGCGGATGACACCGCGCAGCACACCCTAGAGGTGTGCAGCGCCGTACTCTGACGGGGACTATAGGGCAGGACCTCTCATTGCCGGGCGTGGTAGCCGCCATGCTTGGTAGCGAGGAGTCCTGGGAGGCGGTGGCTCCCTTTTGCGGAAAGGTTATGTCGCAAAAGGAGGCCGCGGAGCGGGTGCGCGAGGACGCGGTGGATGCGCACCCGCTTCGGCGCAGACGTACGGGGAGAAGGCGAACGCAGTTCGCTGCTCGCCTGATTCCCTAATGAGGCCAGCGGGCTCTGGACAGGGACTTCGGAGCCTGTATTGCACGGCCTCACTCGTCTGGGGGGCGGGTCGGAGGACAAACGACCTGCCCCTCCGATGGCGCGGGAGCCCTGGCGCAAGCTAGGGCGGCCGGGCGGCGTCGTGGTGAATGTTCACCGATCCCACGGCGCCGACTCAATCGGCGAGAGGTAAACCGGGGTTTTAGCGGGATAGGCCCTCCAGTCCAAAGGGAGAGTCCCCACATAAACCCTGAGTCTCCCTGGGCTCAAGGGTATTTAAATACCTATCCCGTAAAAAAAGGTAGGGTAAACATAGTTTGAAATATGTATACGTAACTTCGAAAATAGTTAAATAAGGTTCAATGTAAACAGTTAAATGTATTCCAACTTTCCCATTGCATTACTTGATCGTTTTGAGTGCATCCATGGTCAAGTAGCTTGGTCCCAGTTTCGATGTGCTGGTCGGGTTAATGTAGAAAAAGTAACTTCTCTATGGTCTCTAGGAGTATGGGTGTTTGTGTTTCCCATTTCCATAACATAAGTGCTTTAGTTAGTTACTTTGAGATCAGAACGTCGTACGTGATGTTGTTTAAAGTTTAAATATTGATTAAAAAAAAAAAGATAATGTTTGTTACTTTTTGTCATCTGAATAAATATAATAGTTTACCTGTCTCCGTTCTCTTGTAGCTGCAAACGACTTGCGCGTGCGCTAAGCGCGCGACACGTCTCGCGGATGTTGTCCAGAATACAAACCAGCAGCTCATGTGCGTCTTGCTGACGATTACCTAAAACATTCAGCAGTTTCAGAGGAGTATCCTCCCACATACAATTAGGTTGTGCAATGAACTCCTTGTCGGTGTTCCCGCAGGAATACAGCATGGAGGCAGGTCCATTTGGGAAAGTAAAGTTTGCGCATCTCCATTATTCTTAGAAAATCGATTGTTCCATTCGAACTTTATATTTTCTCTGCCCTATATGCATTAACTTACAAATAAATATGTATAACTTATTTATCAAATAAAGAAATATAGGCCTGACACTTGACATCGTGACGCGAATAGGGATGTGGACTAATCATATCGGTAATCACATTATACGATTTTCACGAAATCGAAATCGATTCAAAACTGTAAGGATTTGTGATTGTTTAGATTATTTTTCGGTTCAATGTTGTTCAGGGGGCCTAAAAGGCCAAATCATGCAATTCTGTTAAAAGCAATTCTTTTACAGAATTCCTTGCAATACTGTAGCACTCCTCTTATTTTCGTAAAATTGTCCCACATTCCGATGAATTCTATGCATTTCTTTTAATTTTATAATATTCATAAATGGTTTACTACGAGAATTTGGTGTAAATAAGTATGTTCATCGATAAAACAACTACATAAAAAGATTAAATTACCAAGAAACCAAGGATTTCATAAATTTTCATTTATTCGGCTGGCAATAAGTTAGAAGTTGTCAATGTCAACAACAAACAATCTCAAAATGATGTTCATAATTTTTTCTAATATTTTTTCCCATAAATAGAAGTGACTCGGTGAAATTCGGCGATTAATTGCTTACAACACTATTTTTTTAAAAGAAACAGCTTGAGGACGTAACTGTTTTCAGGACATTTTGGAGTAACTCAAAATTGCCTTTTATTTTGGAATTCGTGCGAAAACAGTACTTCAAATATGTTTTGTCACATTATATAATGTTTCAATAAAATTTATGTATTTTTTTAAACTCAATTATGCTAATAATTGTTTGTTTAATGTTTAGTTGATCGCTATCAAAGTTACATACTACTGCCTTCTTTAGCTGTCAACTTATTTGGTGACGACTATAAGACATTTCTTTTGCTTCTTTCATTCGAATTATGATTATTATGCTGTTTGTTTTCATGTGCTTTCAACCTAGAACTTTTACCTCCGCTATCCGGGTGTATTCACTGCAAAAATGAACTTTTTTCTAGACTCACAAGTAACATAGAAATAATCTATACATATACTACCTTCAAAAGTAGAGTTGACGTCCCTAAGCGCTGCAAAGAAGGCGTCCGCGGCGTAGGGCTCCGGACTAGCGTCCGCGGAACTGCTGTTCAGGCACTTGCTTTCTGCTGCTCGCAGATTAAAATATGTTTCGTGGAGTTTCTCTGTAGCTATCTATAAGGAGAGAATGAAGCAGAGGTAAGCATGTTTTCCATTTTTTTAATTAGTGTATTACAAATTTTTCCATCCTATTGTGTATACAATAAGACGGAAAGAATTTGTGATTTTAATAAAGTTGATAGCATAATGATAATACTATTGATTTTTCATAACAAATGAATCATGTTTTTATCAAAAATAAATCATATCACAATAGGAATTTACCTCGAAATTTTGTGTTTCCCTAAAGACTTATTTATAACAAATATTATAAATAAGTCATATTAACACTATTGCAAACACAGTAATACGTCTTAAAATGATCTGTTGGTTTCTGAAATGGTAATGAGTACTAATTTTTTGTTTTTACACATTGTTTGTCATTATTCCTAAGACATTTTGAGAATTTCAGACAAAATTCTTCCAAAAGAATCAAGTTGCCTGAAACTCCAATACATTGGAATAGTACTTACATAAACAATTTATATCTTTTTCCAAAGCATGCAATGACATCACAATTTGTCTGAAATCTATATCAAATTATCAACTAAAGAGGATTGTGTCCTTGATACTAATAATGTAATATATCTGCTAGTATAACCTTGATGCAATGCTCTATATTATGAGATAACGTAATTTTGATAACCACATTAATATTAGTGGCAAAATTTAGATAAATAATCCACATAGTTGTACCTTTTTAGGCTTGAAAATATTACACAAAACACACGAGTGTAACTGTTTTTATATTGTTTGATGATGGCCCTATGTCAAATTAGAGGTAGTCATGGGAATAAAATAATGTTCAAGGTACAAAAAAGAAAGTTAAACTATTAAGGGTATAACTACACTTGTAGGATAGTACTTCACAAATGTAGTAATAAAGGAATGCCCCTTTTTGGGCTACCAGAAAACTTTGTTGGTGATGTCAGTGACACTTTACATCAAAGGCTAACTAGTTTACATACCTGAATTTTGCTCTTTCCACTGCTATTATCAGATTGTCCCAAAGACAATAGGTCTTTGCTACTCCACGATCTTGTTCCAGATGAGGCAAGGCCAGCTGCACTCCGGCCTAAAGATGAACTCTTCAATCTGATACTTCCAAGCTTTTGTTCTACACTAGCCAGGTCTGAGACTAAGTGGTGGAGGTTGTGGAGGAATCGGGGAGCATACCTGGAAGACAGCATTTTATTAACACTATTTGTTATGTTGTGATAGTTCAAGGCAGCATTTCAAACCTCAATCTTCATTAATGATGTATTAAATAATGTAATGAACACTTTTCTGAACTAGTTGGTAAGTTTTCAGTGCTTAAGGTGTCAAGCATAGTCAGCAATAAAGTTACAAGCTTGTATAGTTTGATGAGTGTTTGGGTGTACTGTCTACTTTATTTAGAATTTCCATCTTAAACTTTTTGATATTTAACATTTACTACTTACCGCAAAGTATACAGAACACTGTTGAGAAAGCAAGTATTTCCCAAGTTGGAGAGGGTCGCAATAGGTTGTTTCCTAGGCGTACTCCCGCCATACTGACTGTCCGGTTGGTGGTGGCCATTCAACATGGCAAAGTTGGTAAGAGTCGAAGTGTCCTTTCTTATTATCACTTCAGGTTCTTCTCTTTCTGTAAATATTATTAAATATTTGCCACTCGTAAAATACTCACTATTAAACAATATCAACTTGGAAGGGATCTCTGGAATGTACGCTTTTAAAAATTCAGTGATAAATACAAAGAACTTCATACATACATAACCTCAAGCCTGTCTCCTACTGGGGTACACTGAGATATACATACATAATCGTAAACGAAAGTTGTTCCAATAGGTTATGTTACCTGTAGTTTGTGATGCTCCACTGAGGGGTTTTAGCTTTTTTGCGGCGTGCAAAGTGTTGAAGTACGTGCTCGTAAACGGACGCTTCAGTGGTTTATTCTCCTTATTATCTTTATTCGATAATTTACAAGGCGCAGAATTTTTTTTCGAGCCCTCTAGTTTGGTGTTTCCGTCGCTCAGATATGTTGCATTATTTCTATTAAGAGACAGCGAAAATCTAGATTTTTCGACTCCTTTTTTCGTTTCAGACACAGAGTTATCGGGCATCTTCAGGATACCTGAAAAGAAAGTGTACAAATTATGAAAATAGGCATAGTAACATTGGGAGGCCACAAGTAACTTTCCCAAGACATGTCAAGGATCTTCACGAGAAAACATAAAATGTACAAAAATACTTACACAGTGTTTGTTGTTACACACATTGACTTACATAATATAGTAAGGCAACGTATTTTCCTAGCAAATAACTCAACTACAAAGGAATCTCGAGAAAATAAACCGCGAGAAAATCCATTCGACACTGTCGGCCATATTGGAAATGTTTGATTGATGGATGAATGAATGATGAACAATAGAACGTTGACTGAATGAAACGAAGTTCGTACAAGCCAATTTCTTGTATAAAGTTACAACATGAAACAGAAATAGAGCATACAATTTTTGTGTAGCGTTGTCTCTATCTATGAAACGACCTGTAACAAGTGTTACAGCTTGAAAAAAACTGACAAGGTAGTATATACTTTAGTCATTTATTTGTTTTGTTGCATTTTTAAACTGATGGCCTCGTAGCCAATGCTCAATAAATTTAAAAATATATATACTCTAGTAGTAGTAGTCTAGTTTTTAGTAGTTATGTTTTTAGGGTCGTATTCTAGAACTGTACTCAATGCTCAAGTCAGGATTTGAGTATGGTTTAGAGCACTCGAAATCACACTCAAGTCCCTTCCATTAGGGTCGTCTTCCATTAGAGCTTCAAATCCTGACTTGAGCATTGAGTAGAGTTCTAGAATACGATCCTCAGTATAGGTACATTACGTTGAGCATTTCTTGATTATTTGTTACCATTAAGCTGATGGCTCTGAATCTGAAGCCAATGCTTTATAAATAAATATATAATAATAATAATTTTATACTGGAACTGTGGAAAAAATGGCAGATTTTTGTAGTAACAGCTATTTCACAAATTAATTTTTAGTTTAATTATTATTACGTTTTGAGTTTCTTAATTGTTTGTTGCTTGTATAAATTGATGGCTCTGTATAACCAATGCTCAACAAATAAATAATAATATAAACTATCTTTTCAGTTTTTTTTTATAATGCTCAGCCAGCCGCGTGCTTTTTTTTTTTGACACACATGAGGTTTATTTAGACTTTAGAGTTTACATTATGAGTTTCATAGTTCTTTGCATAGATACATTGACTTAGTCAATGCATAGATATCATTGATTTTTTTGTTCTCTTTTTAGTTAATAAATAAATAAATTAAAAAAAATACGCTGCTTTTTAAAAGCTAGTATGAAAAACAGAAAGTATTCAGAACGAATAGACATGATTAAAATCAGGTTGTTTTGGTTGAATAGTACTACATACGTACCTATCTAGTAGGTAACGGTATATTATAGTGTTTACCTTGACATTACATGTTATCTGCTTTTACTTATTAGCTAAGGGTACGTAATTTTTTATTTGCATTTTTATTGTAAACTTGATTTCATGCCAGTGTACCAGTCCTTTACCAATTTCGTATAATTAAGGTTGTTCTTTATGTTAAAGATATTAGCATTTTCCTACTCGCATCTTTAGTTGGATTTATTTGAATTAAGTTGTATGATACTACGATTCGGGGGTTTTGTAGCATTCACAATTTTTTTATTGTAAAATAGACGTACCTTCACTTGACTGCACTTGACCACCAGTGTCGGCGCTAGTCCTTGTAGCGCCCTAGTGCAATCAATACCTTGGCGCCTTAAAGTAGGCGCGCGATCAAAATGGAATAATTACAATTATATTTTCCCCAGTGACTGGAAATTCGGGTGCAGATGATGCAATTATAAAATGATATTGGGAAGCATTAGCCTGTTTCTGTATGTTCATGCAGGTTCTCTGGAGGCGTCGCGAGCGGGTGCTCGGTGCTCCCTAGCCCAGAGTTTCTTAACCTGTGGTCCATGGACCTTAAAGGGTCCGTGTAACGAATGCCGGGGGCTCATAACAAGCCTACCCAACAAAGCATTCATGTAAACATTGGTATACAATAAAATAGAAACTGTGCGCATGATCTTTTTGAATTTTTTAATAGCAGTAGAGCTCCTTGTGAAAGAGCTCGTCCAGGGAAGTACTGCCACCTACCTATTTCTGCCGCCAAGCAGTAATGTGGCATGTCATGGCAGGGCATTACTGCGGTTCCGTTTTGAAGGATAAGGGTGCTGGTGAAATTACAGCCACATGCGACTTGTCAAGTTAAGTTTCAGGGTGGCGGGTGTCGTGTGAGTGCCCCTCAGATCTTTGCGATTTAAAGCTCTGAGTGGCACTGCAACTGTTGGACATGGACAGGCATGTCGCTTTCCACCAGGAAAAGGAAATATCATTGTTTCGAAAATAAGTATTAAATACGTTTTGTCACCAATAGTAAAAAAATAGTTTGATTATAGGTCCGTATTTTCGCACTAACAAACCGTCGAACGTATTACTTTGATGGTCCATCAATAGTTAATATCTATTGACGTAATGGACTATGGACTGCGGTTTAAATTAACCAACGATTCATTAAACGTTCGTTCACATGAATTTCGACTTAATAACCATTAGACAAATTGACGAATCGATTATATAAGTACTTATATTGTATCACGCGTGTTCGCAATTATGTTTCGAATTTGCGTAGTGTATACTCATTTTGACTCTTTAAAATACTCTTTCAACAATAAATTACGGCTCGAAGGACCAGTTTGTTAAGTGTATAGGGCTGGTGACTAATTATTTTTGTAATTTTAATTCGAAACAAAATACTTGAAAAATTAACGCGGTTTATCGTAGCACAGGCAAGAGACGAAAGGTACAGAGACAATTTTATTTACGTACATACATTCAGCCTAGTTTAAAGTTATAGCACATTGATGAAAAATCTATTTATGCTAATATATTAAATTAAAAACGAATAAAATGCAAAGTATTCAACAATGACGAACGGCCAAGGAGTGGAATTCCATGCCTGCAGACTTGCTCTCTGAACAAGGCGAAAATAAAAAGGCATTAATTGCATGTTCCATCGTCCTCAGGGGTTCCCAAACTTATTTTGTCTACTGGGCAGTAGCACTTTGAGAATAAATTATTTTTTAGCGCCCCCATTTTTTCACCTACTTGTAAACTACTATAACTTCAAATTAAATTAATTATTGTGAGCTATATTAGAGGAGAGTAAACATTCATTCTAAACGAGACTTTCACTATAATTCGCAAGAGTAAACTTGAGACCTGAGCGCAGTAGATAGTACACAACGGCGCTCAGGTCATAAGTTAACTCTTATGAGCCCATAAGATAGTGTAGCCACACCTGCCAATAAGAATGATTATTGAAACGCAACTATAAAGTTATATTAAGATTATAGTTAAACGCAACTATAATACTACAAAGTAGTCAGACAGAGTATCTTTTATTCAAAATAAAACAAACATAATCGATTCTAATATAAAAACTAATGTGAAGGATGAATCTGATGCTGTTTAATAAGTTTGTTGATATCATGTTCCAATTTACTCAAGAACAGCCACAAGTCACCACGTTCGGTAACATGCAAATGATTTCTCTTTTTAGTAAGCAGCGTTGTCACAGCACTAAAACCACGTTCACACAAATATGACGATGGGAATGCTATCAAGAATCGTTGAATGATTGACCACAATCCAGGGTACAATTGCGGGATCGGTTTTTGTAGCCAAAATTCTTGGTAGCCATTTTTGAACTTGATTTTTATTTCCTCGTTCGTTGTCAATTCTATAAGTTCTTCTTCCAGCTGAGGTGATATTGCAGTGTTGACATTTGAAAACGGATCCAACACTCAGTCTGGTATTTCTAAGTTCAAAATATCCTGGTATCGTTCGGTGAAGTCAATGTGGAGGTTTTCCAAATGTTGGCAGTAGGCAAACAAGTCGTCGTTACTGCAGGATACTGATAAATTCGGAAAATTGTGAAATTCACATCTGCCCATATTCTTTTTGTGTAGAAGTAGTTTGGTTGCAACGACATTTTTTATTTTAATTAAATTTAATTCATCGCCTTGCAGTTGGAGATTCATGTCGTTGAACAATTTATACAGGTCATATCTACGCTATATCATTCTTTGATGTAATGAGCTTGTTGCGCAATTCTGTATCTTTAGTTTCCAAACAGGCCAATTGCTTGGACCTGCTGCTGACAACAGATCCACTCAGTCACTCGGTATCGATCAAGGGGCACAAGGAGATTATGGCGATACGAGTCAGCAGACTGGGATGAGATGCGGCACTTCCTTGCGCCTTATCCTTGGCGGCAAGTCTGCTTTTCCTCGGGTGACCCCTCTTGCTCTGCTGATACGGTTGCGGATGTGATCCGGCAAGGAATGGAGTACTTTATTCCATTCTCCGACATTCCGCTCAGTCTCAAAACCCGACTCTGGCTTAATGCGAATTGTGACCGTGCTGAGGCCCGCAAGGAATCCGCTTACCAAACGTGGGTACAAGCTCGTGGCCGCAACATTCGAGCACGGAGGGTTCGCGCGACAAAGAGAGCTTTTAACTCTGCCGCCAGTTCTGCAAACCGGTTCTCTGAAAGGCAAGATTCGACCATATCAGCAAGATTGGGGCCAGATTTGCGTCCTACCCTCCTGGTACGAAGCAGTTCTGGTCCCTATCCAAAGCAGTTGAATCCCACGTTCCCACCTTGCCTCCCATGCAATCCCTGACGGAACACTGGCTCACTCCGCAACAGAAAAAGCAAATCTATTTGCTTCAATATTTGCGAGCAATTCACGTCTAGACGCAGGGTCGAAACAACCACCAACTTTACCTCGATGTGATACTTCAATGCCGGAGATCACAATCCATGCAAAAGAGGTTCATAGAGCTCAGCGAAATCTAGATGTTAACAGAGCTTGTGGACCTGATGGCATACCGGCACGAGTACTGAGGTTTTGTGTGCCTGAGCTGACGCGTCTGTACCGCCTCTCTCTCAAAACGAGAATCGTTCCAGGATCGTGGAAACTTGCAAATGTGCAACCAGTCCCCAAAAAGGGCAGCCGTGCCGACCCCTGCAATTATCGACCTATCTTTATTACTTCCATACTCTGTAAGGTTATGGAAAAAGTTCTGAATAACAAGCTGCTATCACCTTGAAACAAACGACCTACTCAGTGATCGTCAATATGGCTTTCGCCGGGGACGATCAGCTGGGGATCTTCTCGTGTATGTTACGCACTGCTGGGGCGAAGACATCGAGAAACACGGCGAGGCTCTAGTTGTGTCACTAGATATCTCGAAGGCCTTTGACAGGGTTTGGCACGCAA